TGACTGTAGTGGAGGGCTGACTGTAGTGGAGGGGTGACTGTAGGGGAGGGCTGACTGTAGGGGAGGGCTGACTGTAGTGGAGGGGTGACTGGGGTGACTGGGGTGACTAGTGGAGGGGTGACTGGGGTGACTGTAGGGAGGGGTGACTGTGGGGTGACTAGTAGAGGGCTGACTGTGGGCTGACTGTGGGGTGACTGTAGGGAGGGGTGACTGTGGGCTGACTGTGGGGTGACTGTAGGGAGGGGTGACTGTGGGCTGACTGGGGTGACTGAAGGGAGGGGTGACTGTGGGGTGACTGTAGGGAGGGCTGACTGTGGGCTGACTGTGGGCTGACTGTGGGGTGACTGAAGGGAGGGGTGACTGGAGTGACTGTAGGGAGGGCTGACTGTAGGGAGGGGTGACTGTGGGCTGACTGTGGGCTGACTGTGGGGTGACTGGGGAGGGGTGACTGTGGGCTGACTGTGGGGTGACTGTAGTGGAGGACTGACTGTGGGGTGACTGTAGGGAGGGGTGACTGTGGGGTGACTGTAGTGGAGGGCTGACTGTGGGCTGACTAGTGGAGGGCTGACTGTGGGGTGACTGTAGGGAGGGGTGACTGTGGGCTGACTGTGGGGTGACTGTAGTGGAGGACTGACTGGGGTGACTGTAGGGAGGGGTGACTGTGGGGTGACTGTAGTGGAGGGCTGACTGTGGGCTGACTGTAGTGGAGGGCTGACTGTGGGCTGACTGTGGGGTGACTGTAGTGGAGGGCTGACTGTGGGCTGACTGGGGTGACTGTAGGGAGGGCTGACTGTGGGCTGACTGTGAGGTGACTGTGGGGAGGGCTGACTGTGAGGTGACTGGGGAGGGCTGACTGTGGGCTGACTGTGGGGAGGGCTGACTGTGAGGTGACTGTGGGGAGGGCTGACTGTGGGCTGACTGTGGGGAGGGCTGACTGTGGGCAGACTGTGGGCTGACTGTGGGCAGACTGTAGGGAGGGCTGACTGTGGGCTGACTCTGGGGTGACTGTGGGCTGACTGTAGGGAGGGCTGACTGTGGGGTGACTGTGGGCTGACTGTGGGCTGACTGTAGGGAGGGCTGACTGTGGGGTGACTGTGGGCTGACTGTGGGCTGACTGTGGGGAGGGCTGACTGTGGGGTGACTGTGGGCTGACTGTGGGCTGACT